TGCCTCACCCTCAGCTAGGATTACAGGCATGTACCACCACGCGCAGCTACAGCTAAGTTTTGCATTCTTAGTAGAGACAGGGTTTCAACATGTTGGCCGGGCTGGTCTGGAACTCTTTACCTTGTGATCCACCCGCCTTGGCCTCTCAAACTGCTGGGATTACAGGCGTGAGCTACCATGCCTGGCCCATATAAATGTTTTAAATCTTTTTAGCATCTTGATTTTTAATTCATTTTGAGCAGCATGTCCTACCTTACATATTTTATATACTGCAATCTTTTAATGTAGTAAAACCAGTTCAATGTACTTTAAATCTTATTTTGATGAGCTTTTCTAATTTCTCACTCCCTGTTTATAAAGTGCAGACAGTAATATTGACTTTTTAACATCTCATCCTCATGAAGACAGTGTAGAGTAGTGGTCTGAATGCCTAAACTGGAAGGTCAATGTCACCATAGCGGTCGGTCCCTGGAAACAATGACTTATCCTAAGGTCTTTGTCTCTTCGTTTGAAAACAGGCAGAATACCTATATGAAGCACTTATTGTGAGGATTTCACAAAATAATACCTAGCATAGTGCCTAGCAGAGGTAACTAATTAACGTTAATTTCTTTCACAAAGTTTATGTTATGGACTGAAGATCTGTATACCCCCAAAATTCACATGTTGAAGTCCAAACCTCCCAGTGTGATGGCTATTAGAGGTGGGCCTTTGGGAAGCAATTAGGTTTAGATTAGGTCCTAAGAGTGAGACCCTCTCATGCCGGGATTTGTGCCCTTTTAAGTAGAAAAGAAAAAGACATCCTCACCTCTCCCTCCCCTCCCTCCTCCTATCTCCCTCCCACTTCACCTGCAGGCAGGGAGGAAAGGTCTTAAGAGTGCCCAGGGAGAAGACAGCTGAGAGGGCAGGTGCTTCCCTGATTTCAGACTTCCAGCCCCGGACGTGTGAGAAAATACGTCTGTGTTTTAAGCCACCTCAATATATGGTATTTTGTTATAGTAGACCGAGTAAACTAAGGCAGTATCAAAAAATATTTTCAAAAGGAGACTTTGGAGAGCAAGATAATTTTCACCTCATCCCAATATGCCACAGGTCTGTAATTCTACATCCTCAAACAGTATTCAGTATCACAGGTTACTGCAGAAGATGGTAACATTATTAATTAGATTTACTGGTAGATGTCTATTGATTTTCCATGTTGACCAACAGGGAGAGGAAGACAGGCTAGGAACAATAAACTACACTCAGGTATATTCAATACACTTTTCTGGCCCTTGGCTATTCCTCTTGCCAGGTCAATATTTCATAGATATCAAAAGTAACCACCAACTAACTATACTGGAAGCAAAATAATGACAAAGAATCCACTGATGACAATATAAACTCTTAAAAGCCAGTCTAACTGGTCCTCTCCCCATCAGTTCAAAGAAATTGCCAACATTGTAGACTGAATGCTAGTGAACTACACTAGGTTCGCTATTACAGGCAGTTTTTTTCACTGCAAAAATGCTACATAAAGCACATTTTTAAGTGCCATAAACCTACTGTTTATCTTCTGTATTTAAAATGCAAAATACCATAATCACTTTACGAAATATACTTTAAATGCTGATTTCCTATTTAAAAGTTTATACATTCAAAATTCAAAAGAACCTAAAACTATTCATCCTTCCCATGTATGAAAACAGACCATTTTTTAAATAGGTAAAATTCCCTAGAGAATATAATTTTTACAACATAGCAATAAAGTAATTATCCATCCTGAAGTCTAAAACAAACAAAACAAACAAACAAACAAACAATACAAAGAACATCCTGGAAATCTAAATGCCATGTAAAAGAATGCCAGCGCGTGACGGTAAAATTTTCCAAAGGCTAGGAAACATCAATAAAAATTCAAAATGTAATGCCTTATAAATATTCAACATTAGTAGACAATAACAAATAAAATCATAGAGTAAAAATTTTTGTGTTCACAGATAACTGTTATAATATTAAGGGACATCGTCATTTCCACTTTTGAATAGCTACCTCAGTTGCCATTACAGCTTCCATTGTTCACAATAAAATAGTTGCATTGTTTTTCAGTGAAAGAAAAGAAGGAAAATATTGCTGAAAATAAAGAGAAAAACAAGTCTTGACAAAGCAAACAAAATGATTTTATACGCCATCTCGTTCCACCATAATTGCAGGACTGAACTAGTATCCAAAAACTAAATATGTCAACAAACATATGCATTAAAATCTGTGCTTAGTCAACACAGCTATCCTGTGCTACAGGGCAAATAAAATTTAAATTTTCTATTTTTTTTTTAATAAAAGCAGTGACTTATTAGAAAGAGACTACTGGTATAGGAAGCTACAATGGGGATCGATTCCTCCAATTTCATGTGTCCTTACTATATATGTATCTCTTTTTGTTTTTTTCATTCTGGTAACCAGAGTACATGTGACAGGCTGCATTATTTCAAATACCCAACACTGAAAGTTACTTTCAGGCCTGAATCTAAGGATGAGATGACACATTTTATAGAAGCTTCTTTTAGTACAGCAATAGGCAAATTACGGTATTAACAAGACTTTAATTCTACATTTACATTTTTTTCTCATTGTAAATGTAATGTGAAACTTGTAAAATACAGGGAAAAAATGTTTAATCACCAATAAATCCCACCATTCGGAAACCTTGCTACTTTTTGGTAGATTTCCATCCAGTGACACTGAAAGTTCAATTTTCTAATTCGATACTGATAAATATGCAGGAAAAAAAAATCAATGTATCCTCAATATTGTCTTTCAATAAATAAACATAAAACAACAATTATTAATTATATGACCTGTTAATTTCACAAAAGTCTCTAAAATGTTTTAAGTGGTGGGGTGTGGTAGGGAGTCCCATAATTCAGACACTAGTCCTGAAACTGAAATCTCTTCCACAATGTTTATATGTCAACCCTTTAATGGCAGTGAGCAGCAAGCTATGACTGTTCGTACAGTGGTATTAACATTAACGTCCCTACATCAAACAGGCTTTGCTTTTATTTTCTTTCCATGTATACCTCAATAGCGTTTTATTTTCACTGTAAAAATAAATAACCTATATCTGCATAGTAATTTTACATAAGCTTAAATTCAAAGACTCGCGTTTTTTTTAAGCCAACCAAACTGTTGGTGCTTCTGGCCTATGAGACGGTTTACCAGATAAAGTAACATTCTTTACAGTCCAGCATTCTCTCTCATAACATAAAAAAGAATTTAAGGAATATCCCTTAAATATAGTCACATTATCTTTTGTTTCAACTCACTGTTTATGGAAGCATGCAGATGTCAGAGTTGCAAAAACTGAAATGACTTCATTAACAAAGCAACACCCCAACATTTAACAAATGTCAAAACCTCACCAAAAAAAAAAAAATGAAACAAAACCAATTATATAACCACTAGCAAATTTTTTCCCTTAAAATTTAGTTTAGTCTTATTTCTAGTTTCAAGGGAAGCTTTGTCTACTCAAGGTATCAAAGGTCTTCAAATCCCATTCATTTTCTTCTGCCCAAGAGTTAAGAAAGTCTAAAACAGAGTAAGTCAGATTTGTTACTGGGATCTTCTCACACTTGCCTTTTAAAAGAAATCTTTCAACAAAGACTCAAAAAAGAAACAGCAAAGTTTGGGGAAAGAATTGTCTGTCTTTAGGTCAAGCATTTCCTGATAAGTGACTGAAGGTCTGGCTGCCTGGAATACACTTTGCTCACCCTAGGAATGATCAAGTCTCAAAACAAAACTTGCCTCTTCTTTATGTTGAAAGTGACCTGTTAGGACCTGATACTAATTTGACGAAGAGATGATAGAACATGACCAACGAGGTGTCTTTGGTGGACATATTCATATAAAGGAGGCGAGAGCCACAGATTTCAGCTAAATGCTTTTTGTCACTTTTGCAAAAGAAAAGCTAATTGTTAACGGCCATGTGACATTATAGATCCCAGAAAAGGAAAGGGTGGGAGGAAGAGAGAGGAGTTCAAGGCAGTTCAGGGTCAGAACAAGCTCAGGCATCCTGTCATTAACAAACGTTCCCCAAGCTGAAAGCAAAATACGGCTTACCCGAAAAGGAGTGGGTGAAAAGAAGGGGGAGAATGAGGGGAAAAACCACAGGAGAGTCAATGTGGCAGTGTGGGGGTGATAGGAGGGAGGGAATCTGGAGCTATCCAGCTGAGTTGGGGAGCAAAAGCATCGCGTACAAAAAAGCTGAGAAAAGCAACTGCGACGAAGACGACAGCACGAGGCACCCTCCTCCCCGCATTTTTCCCTCCCCATCGTTTTGCTGGGTTTCCCACATTCCCTCTAGCTCCGCTCCTGACCAACACTCCGGGGTGTGACCTGCCGGCAGGAGGCTGCCCTGATCTTTGTCTCTGCCGACTCCCCACGCGCGGGCTCCTCCTCCTCCTCCTCCGCACTCCCCACCCGCGCATAGCCCCGGCGTCTCCAAGAAGCTGCAGGCGCCGCGACCGCCGCCTCCTCTCCCACCTCCCGCGGACCCGCGCCCCTTCCTTCCCCTCCCGGGCAGCGTCGTCCGCGCCTCCAGCTCCACCCCCGCCAAGGGGGACCTTTGTGTCTCGGGGGACTTTCTGCCTCTTTCCCGTCCTCCGCCTCGCGGGGAGACCGGCCTCCCCCGCAGACCAAAGCTGCAGCGAGCACCGGAGGCGGCTGCGTCTGTATCTGTCGGCGCCTGCCGAGAAGCAGCTCGCAGACACTCACACCCTACCCGAGCCCCGGAAATCCCCGGGCGACCCAGGGTCCTCGGTGGACCCCAGGGATGACAGGCGCACGACAGCCCCCCGCGCCGCGCCTCCTCGCTCAACTTCCCGGCCGGGCCTGAGCCTCCCGCGCCCCCAGCAGCCCCCGCCCCCGCCCCCGCCCCCGCCTCTGTCCCACGCAGCCTCCCGGCCCCGGGGCCGACCCCGACACCAGGGAAAGCGCGGCGCGGACGCCGGCTGCCAACTCACCAGCAAGAGCGGGGACCGCGAGTCCCGAGTCGAGGCGAAGAGAGGCACAGGGGGAAGCGACTCCGCGGACGCCCGCGGAGACCGGATGCAGGTCCGGGTCCCAGCGGCCGGCAGACGTGAGGCGCCTCCGAGCGCAGGCCTCCGCCGCCACAGCCGCCTTCCGGATCTCGCCGCGGGTCCGGAGCCTCGGGAGGGGCCGCGGGTGTCTCACGCGTTGCCAAGTCCCCCGGTCAACATGGCTCCCGCGCCGACGAGCCGCGCGGACGGCCCACTAATCCCCTCGGAGCAGCCGGGCGCGAGCGGGGCGGGCGCCGACGGCGGGCTGAGGCGGTCCGGCCGGGCGCTGGCTCCTAATTCTCCGCGGCTCTGCGGCGGCCCGCGGGGAGCTCAGGAGACTGCAGGCGGCCGCGTTCGCTCCCTGCGTGTGCGTCGCTTTCGCACTCGGCGGCTGCGGATTGACGCCTCCGCCTGTTCCCCGGAGGAGAGCGAGCGCAAGAGAAAAAAGACTTTTATTGAAACGATCCAACCAGCGGCGGCGGAGAAAAGCGACCGGCCGCGGGAGCTTACCCCACCCCCGCCTGAGCCGCTCGCCGGGGGCAGCGCGACCCCTGCCGGCGGCGGCGGAGGCGGGGGCGGGGCCGGCGGCCGGGGGAGGGGCCTGCAGGGCGGGGCGGGAGTCCCCGGGAAACTCCCGACTCCTAAATGCGGGCGTAGGGGGAACGGCGGGAGGGGGCCAGAGGACCCCAGCGGAATAGTGCCTGTCCGCAGCGACTGGGGGAGAAATCATGTGAATAATTCAGCCCCTCCAACTTCCCCCCTGCCCCTCGACTTCCCCCTGCCAAACGAAAACTCGTGCTTCTGTTATACAAGTAATTATTGTACAAGGTGTGTCCATGCCACGGTTCTCCACTGGCTTTCTAGAGAGTCCATGTCAAAAGACCCACACTGAAAGATGTTGATGGCTGCAACTTTTCTCCTTTGTTGTATGTGGGTACGTGGGTACTAGTGCCGCAGTCTTGCACACACACCGCATCTATTCATTTAAACTACAGCACAGTGTTTTGTATATATTATCATGTGCCCGGCAATATGCTGAGTCCCGTAAGGACGGAGAGTCTAGCTGGGATGAAAGGTGATTAACAGCTATCATAAAAATCTGAACGTCATGAGCGGAGAAATACAAGGTGCTATGAAAACAGAAAGGACTACTGTTGCACGGGTTAGGTTTTGTTTTCTTGGGGGAGGCGGGCCGCTAGAGGTTGGCCCAGTTTCTCCAACTGTTTTGACTTTCTCCTTTCCCAGAGGCTAAAAGCTAGTTCAGGAATGAACAGTAGAATGGCAGTGAAGACAAACTAAAGTAATACTGACCCACTTCTTTCCACTAATAAGGATAAAAGCATAAAGTAAAAACAAACTTAAACCCCTAGAGGGAGATAATGAGAGGATTGAAAGGAGAGAGTAGGGACCGGATGTAGACAACATAAACAAGAAAAAAAAACCACATAAAAGTCCTGTGAAGTGAGAAATTTTTTTTCCATGTTAACACCCGGAAGTAGAAGCTGCATTGAAGTTTCAAATCACAGTATGTGCTGAGAACTTCGGAGAATTATCTTTTTGTATTTAGGGATGAATCCTTTCCCCCTTAAAAATGTTGTATGCTGACATCTTTCTCTTATTTTGTTGGGCAAAGTTGAATGCATCTACAGTTATATCCAACGATCGTGTCAATCAGGCTTCTCCCATGCCTCTAAAATTACCAGGACCCGTAAATTAGCAACAATTATGCTCTACACGTATTTAACACTTGTTTACAACCAAGAATGCAAATATACATAACAAGCTTTCCGTTAGAACAAGTGCGCTTTGTTTAAAAGCACTGTTAATGAGGCTTTTTAAATTTGTTCAAGTCAAACTTGGAACTTTATAATATAGCAAGACGTAGCATCACTTTCAGAGTTCTTTTTAAGTTAAACAGAAACACTGATATTTATACAAAGCCTATTTATATGCAAGGATTTTCATATACTTGCCTCATCTAAATTAGTACTTTAGTAAATATCAAAAAAATCACCAAAAAAGGGAGTCTATGAAATGGCATTCTGAGTTTCAGCATTAATACTTATACCTTCATATCATTAGATTAGATTTACTCCATGAGAAATAAAAAGATTATTCTGTCTCACCCTCTCCTCTTTCTACATCTGTCATTAGCATAACAAAGAATTCGTAATTGGGAGGCTGAGGTGGGAGGATCCATTCAGCCTGGGAGACGGAGTTTGCGGTGAACTGAGATTGCGCCACCGCACGCCAACCTGGAAGACTGAGTGAGACACCATCCCCCCCCCCCCACAAAAAAAGGGAAATTCATAATGAAAACTGAGGTGATTATTTGATTGATTGGTTCGTTCGTTCGTTCTTTCTTTCTTTCTTTTTCTTTCTTTCTTTCTTTCTTTCCCTCCTCCCTCCCTCCCTTACTCCCTCCCTTCCTCCCTTCCTCCCTTCCTCCCTTCCTCTCTTCCTCTCTCTTTCTTTCTTTCGACAGAATTTTGCTCTTGTTGCCCAGGCTGGAGTGCAGTTGCGCGGTCTCGGCTGACTGCAACCTCCGTCTCCCAGGTTCAAGCGATTCTCCTGCCTCAGCCTCCTAAGTAGCTGGGATTACAGGCATCCGCCACCACGCCCAGCTAATTTTTTACGTTTTTAGTAGAGACGGGGTTTCACCATGTTGGCCAGGCTGCTCTCAAACCCTGACTTCAGATGATTCACCCTCATCAACCTCCCAAAATTTTGGAATTACAGGCGTGAGCCACCGCGCCCAGAGGATTTGTTCTTTCAATGAAAAAAAAAAAATTACAGATTGCACAATATTTATTTCATTATTTATTTATTTATTTATTTATTTATTTAAATGAGATGGAGTCTCACTATACCGACAGCCCGGGCTGGTATTAAACTCTTGACATCAAACAATCCTCCAACCTCGACCTCCCAAAGTGCTGAGATTACAGACAGGAGCCACCACCCCTGGCCCATTTATTTATCTATTTTAAAATTTTTATTTATTTATTTATTTTTAGACAGAGTCTTGCTCTGTCACCCAGGCTGGAGTGCAGTGACACAATCTCGGCTCACTGCAATCTCCGTCTCCCAGGTTCAAGCAATTCTCCTGCCTCAGTCTCTGGAATAGCTGAGATTGCAGGCCTGTGTCACCACACCCGGCTAATTTTTGTATTTTTAGTAGAGGCGGGGTTTCGAAATGTTGGCCAGGCTGGTCTCGAACTCATAAACTCTAATGATCCAAAGTGCTGGGATTACAGATGTGAGCCACAGCACCCAGCCCCCTGGCCTATTTAATTACTTTTCTAAACTGATTTAAAATTCAGCCAGGCGCGGTAGCTCACGCCTGTAATCCCAGCACTTTGGGAGATCGAGGCAGGCGAATCATTTGAGCTCATGAGTTTGAGACCAGGATGGCCAAAATAACAAAACCCCGTCTCTACTAAAAATACAAAAATTAGCCAGGCGTGGTGGTGGGAGCCTGTAATCCCAGCTACTCAGTAGGCTGAGGCAAGAGAATCACTTGAACCCGGGAGGTGGAGGTTGTAGTGAGCTGAGATCACACCACTGTACTCCAGCTTGGATGACAGCAAGACTCCGTCTAAAAAAAAAAAAATTGTATGTAATGTTGTGAGCGTGTTAGTTGTTTTTTCCGTAGGTTATAATATAGGCTTTTTTTTTTTTTACCTTGTAAAACATGTTAAATTATAAAATTATTTACATAGACTATTTCCCTAACTGTGATTAATAGATAATACATAGTGCTTAGTGGAGGAAAAAGATTGAGGAAGAATTCCAATATCAAATCCACTTGAGGAATGCCACATACTTTATCTCCCTTTTGGAAGTTCACAATATACATTTACACATTTAAGGCTCTTAGAAGTTCTGAGATTAAAAAATAATTTTCTTTCCAGTGAAACAAGTATATCCCAAAATGTTTTCACCATAGAGTAACTGTATCATGAGACATATATAAAAATATTGAGGGGAGAAAATTTTGAAGGTCATTGAACTTTGGACAAAGAGAGTTAAAGGTAACAAGTCCAGAAAATCTTGGCTGGGATTCACATTCTGAAAATGACACTGTCTGGGAAACAAATATGAAACATTCAGATAAGATACAAACAAGAAACACTTAAACTGGTTTTCAATTGCTCTACATCAGTGGTTCTCAGCAATGAGACCTCGGAATTTCTTAGAAATGCAAATTCTCAGTTCCCACTTCAGACCAACTGAATCAGAAACTCCGGGGTGGGGCCCAGCAAACTGTTTACCAAGATCTACTAAGATTCTGCTGCACAATAAAGTTTGAGAACCACTGCTCTATACAACGTCAATACATAGCTTTGTTTACAAAATAATTTTCCATATGTCTGAATTTCTGGACTATTTCTAATTATCAATTCATATTTCTTAAAAATTCTCAAAGAAATTAGATAACCAACCAAATAGAAAAAACACGTTTTGTCTGGATTCATTCCCTATTTTACTAGGCTGAATCATATAGAAAGTCTGTTTGTTTGTTTGTTTGCAAAGAAGAGTAAAGCAAATTAAGCTAAGGACAGCAATCAACTATTTTCCCCCAAATATCACTTGAGAAAAATAATTTTACTTTTGGCAAAAATGAAGCTGTAGGCAAGAAAAGAGTTTTGTCAAAGGCTTTTTAAAACCTGCTTCAAAAATGAAACATCTAGCCAGGCCTTAACATTTATTTTTAATATTTTGTACCATCCCAACACCTACAAAACAGCTATGTACCATTGCATAATGATACAGTTGTACCCTGTCACTTAAAGCTTAACTGTAGAGATTTTACAGAGCAGATCTATTTGAGATCATTATCAGAATAACTCCATAGATTTACAAGTTACAAATTTGGAGAGGGAAATTTCTTCCCTATTTACATGTAAAATTTCAAATTTGGTGTACCAGATTTAACCCTAGAGGATGAATAACATCTGAGACATTTGGTCTAGTCCAGGGAACATTATAAAAAGCTTTCAGCAGAGTGATGTCATGTGTCCTTACAAGGGAAATGAATCCAGGAACCAAACTCAATCTTGGCAGTTAAGGAGGACATAATTTTCAAACATTTTATTTTAAAATGAAATTTTTCTCTAGTTGCTGACAAAATGCTCAGGGAGAGTTAGTTTCCAGGCTTCCAGTAAGACTGCATACACGTCTCTATTATGAGATTAAGATGGGATTAACTAGTTTTTTCTTCTTTTCTTTTTTAAATGTGATATTAATACCTCTTAACTAGATTGATGTTCTGTCTCTGAGAAAAACCAGATGTGGACCTTAATCAAATAAAATACATGTAAAGTTTATTTGAGCTTTTTGAAAAAAATGAAGCACAACATGAAGCCATCGTTTTTTGTTTTTGTTTTGTTTTGAGATTTTGAGATAGAGTCTTGCTCTGTTACGCAGGCTGGAGTGCAATGGCACGATCTCAACTCACTGCAACTTCCACCTTCCAGGTTCAAGCAATTCTCCTGCCTCAGCCTTGAGAGAGCTGGGACTACAGGTGCCTGCCACCATGTCTGGCT